GTAGTTTAAATAGTGACAAATTTTAAAGAAATTAAGAGGCTGCTAATTAGTTTGTGACAATGGTTACATGCCTGGTTCATTGAGAGCAATTAAGAAAACAACTTCTGATACTTGTTAATTGCTCTTTACACATGCTGCACAAATACAATATTAGAGCAACTGACCATGAGATACAAAAAGAAGTTGTTTTACCACAACTAGAACTCCAACCCGTTTAGATCTTCAAAATATTTTAGAGACTTATTTGAACATCTTTGGAATATTCATATATGTGACGTGACAATTTAGAAAGATGACAATTGCTGGCAAAAGAATTTTACACTGAAAACATGAATACTGCTCTACTATGGGTAAGAGACTTAATAATTGAGAAGAGTTGCATTCTTAAAGTTAAACATTTCCTTGTACTACTTGCAGACTTGAAATCAAATATTCTTACTGTATTTTTCTATATGCTGGAAATATAATTTTGGGTTGTAAATAATGATCCACTGTGCCGACTGGAAAAGTTGTGGTGCTGACTGTAAGTTGCAATGATTTATTCCAAAACTCAGAAACCAGGATGACTCTCCCTTGCTATAAAGCACTAGATACTATCAATCTATGGAGTGTTAGGAGCTGGAAAATTCATTAAAAAAACACAAAAACCTGTCTGCTCAGCATACCTTCTGCTGAGTCCATGTACCATAGGCATTTGCTCTGTAGGCACTATTTCTAGATGTGTTGCAAGCTGTACAGGTGGGTGTATACATATTGTCTGTGTCATGACTACCACTAAGTTGCTTGACTGGTGTTCCTGTCAAATAAGCAAGCCTTCATTCATGACAGCCTGTTTTTTCATGTTTAGGTAAAAAAAGTCAATGCTGGTGTTTCCTTCAGTAACATTTTCAGTCTCACCTGAAACCTTCAAACACTTGTCACTAATCTGCAGGCACGAAATGCTGCACTAAGTGCACAAGCAGTAATCCTTACAACCATACAAAGGCTCAGCAGTGCCACTGCTTGCAGTTTGACAGAAATCACCAGAAATCAGAGGGGGTTCTCAGTAGACATTACTTAACTATTATTTCTGTTGTATTCCAACAGGGTCTAATTGTTGATTCAGAGCCCAGGCAGTTTCCACAGTCTGTCTTTGCATATTACATGCAACTGACTATTCTTTCTCTACACATTTCCAGAAATCTGAGAAGTGCAAAGGTCCATAACACCATAAGCAGGTGCTCAGCATATCTCTGGGTGAGTCTACGTGTCACTGAAACCATACTCTCTCTCACAGACCATGCCAAAATTGGACTTAACGATGACCTTGTTAAAAAGGGAAATGCTTGAATGACCATGGCTTGGGTTGTTTCACCACTTTGAGCTTGGTGTTGCTTTCACACCCCCTCCATCGCATTTGGTAATTATGCCTGCAGACATAACGTTTTCCTCAAAGCAGAGCTACTAACTGTCTAGCAATTATTTTGTGCTGAACTTCCCTTCATCATTCTCGAGCTAAAATAATATCTTGGATATCATGTCGTCTTTGAACAACCCCTTTGCTGCTTTGTAAATTAACAGAAAGTCTGGGCAGCAGGACTGCTTTTGGCAGAATTTGCCAAAACTCTGACAGCACAGCTGGAAGTATAGCTCTTCATGTTAATTCTCATTAGTATTATTAGTTTTGTCTTTCTTTGCCCAAAGAACATATTTAGTTGAACATTTCACTCCCATTTGCAATAGGCTAAAATTTATCTCAAATTTGCCCAAACTTTGCAGAAAATAATAATTTAACAAGCATGATCTTGTGGGTCTTGACACAAAATCCTTTCCTCCGTGTGATTTTCTTCTAAGCTTTACCACTGATACTGGATACTTGGGAACATTTGAAAAGCAGCTTGACCATGTTGCATTCAAACTGTGCTTACTGGAGTTTGATTAAAATCTGCTTAGTATTTCACATATCCACTTTGAAATTCCATCATGCCTACCAGTTTTTGGGTCGTTCAGGGGCCCTACCACTGTGAGTTTGGCCCTGGGTTCAAAGCCAGTTTGGTGTCAATTCATAAGCTTTGTATTGTGGGAGTTATGGGCTGCAAGATGGACTTTGGGAGCTTCTTTTTATCGTGCATTAACCTAAACTGTCAGAAAATTTACATCAAACTCATTCAGACATGTCTGGTCTCAGATCATCTGGAATGCTCCTCTTCAAGTAGGGCGATGTGCTGACTTGTATTGCTTCCTCCTGCAGAATCAGGATACTTCTTGCACAACCTCTTTGTTTAGCATATGGGATGAAGCACTATTCATCCCAGCAGCTCCTAAACCAATGGAACAGAGGATTAATGGCATCGTAGCATAGGGAGCATGCCCCCTCCTCAGGCCTGGGATCTCTTAAGCTGTATATATACCCATGGGTTTATTCCATACTGTTCCATTTAGCATTATCCCTGCCTGAACTGTGGTGGCTGCTATACCCTTTTATCAAAAGTATTTCCTGTTGGATAACTGAAGTTAAAGAAGCAAAAACTGAAAAGAAAATAATAGAATTCCACCAGTGAAAACAAGCAGAGATATTTTTAAAAGCACAGTGGATATCCAAGCAGTATCCCATAAGAGAAAAGGGTAGAAAAGTCTTGTGTGTGACTTGAGTGAGGTGGAACAATGCACAATATGCCATAGTCTTGCTTTCCTTCCAAGTTCATTACTATAACCTGAAAAATAGGAAATAAAATTGGAAGTTCATGTTCACACACCCTGCTCTGGCAAAGCGATTTCTGAAGATGGAATTATTTAGAGTATTGTAGTTTATTTGATTAAGACAACTTCAGAATCTGTTAGGCCCAGTTAAAGAAAGGATCAATTTAAATACTAGGTTAACCCTCATGTTCAAAGGCAACAAATCTACATTCAGTGTGTTGATATGATATAAATTACTGAATTTCCTAAAATGCAATTGATTTCTACTCATAGAAGAAAATGTAAGAAGAGTCCATAATTATAGTTGGTTTGGCTTTCACCATGATTTTTTTTCTGGCATGTTGAGTCCAAAAGCCAAAATACATTTAAAGTATTTATTCATAGTGTCTTCTTGTACATGTGTGTATGTGTATCTGCAGACTGGAGAAATGCTTACACAAACAGAGGTGGTGCTTCAAACAACTTTTTTTATTGCTAGCTCTTTGTATTTGATAAGCAACACAAATTAACTCTTCCTCAGAATACCATTCCTCAAATAAAACTGCCATTATTTGCAACCATGCAACACAGTTCAGGACATTGCACTTGCAGTATGATTCATCAAGGAAAGGCTCCCTTTCTGCACCAGATCTTTGCAGGTGCATTAACCTTTCCATGTCAGTCTGTTTCTAATCAGTCTTAATGTCTAGAAATTTCAACCTAGCATTCATGTTTTGTTTTGTTTGTTTGTTTGTTTGTTTTTTCCACCATGGTACCAGAAATCTAAGTACACACCTGGTCTTATATAGATTGGGAAGACTTTCAATCAAAATCCTGACAGCTGTTTGGTACACAGTAAGTGTTCTGCCTCCTATATCTTTTGTTATATTAAAACAGAGGGATGTGAAGTGAAAATAAAATATAAATTTGCCCTTCTAGTGTGTTCCTCAAGTCTGCTATACCAGTGATATCCCTGCTGGCTTTGAACTGAGCTTCTGAGACCAATGTTTTTGATACGATCCTTGCCCTCTCAGTCATGCTGCTTCCTAGAGGAGTTTGTGTCACTGATCTGCTGACAGCCAGATTGCTATTTTTTCTTCAACATTGTACTGAGGGTAGAAGTGACATTATGCTGTTTGTAGTGGGTTTCCTTCCCCAACCTGCTTTTAAAATTAATTAATAAATGTGATGCCAGGGTCAAAGTATTCCTGAGGACCTAAGAACTGTGTTCTTCGTAATAGACTTGGATTAATTCCAGCTGGTTTTAAGCACCTTTCTCTATTAGCTACAAGAGGTGATTAGCATGAAGAGCCCTCTGAGTTAAGTGTCTTTTTAGCATTTACAGATAGTGCTGGTAAACCGAACCACTGAATCCTGCATTAGGCCTATTTTAATGGCTCAACTATAACCTCAGTGCATTATCTCTTCCCGAGACAATTGCCCATTTTCCCCTTTGTTTCAGTACTGTTATTCTGACAAACAAAGCCAGAACATCTCTCTCCCGAACACTTCTTTGGTTCAGTTGTATGAATTTCTGGAGGGAAGCCTGTCAGAGGGACAGCTCGAAGAACCAGCATTTCCAACGTCACGGTCGTTCGCTTCTGATGCGACACCCCGTCCCCTCCAGGGCAAGCTCCAGCCCCAGAGCCGGGGGGGCCGTCATGCTCCTTCCTTTATTCTCTTTGTCGTCTTGTAGTGCAAACATGGAATAACTGACCAAGAACTATTCAAGAATTTGAGCGCTGCGTTTCCTCAGGTCTGAAGGACCTTTACCTTCTGAGACAAATACGCTTCAGTTAACGTCCAGAAAAACTGTGTTTCGCAGAAAGTCCCCAGCCTGCGCCCCCCCAGCACGAGGTGTACCGGCCGGGAAGCGGCGCCTTTTCTGTTTGAACTCGCGGTTTGATCCCCGGGGTCTGTCGGCAGGGCCGGGGCTGGCGCCGCGGGCCCGGGCCGGCGGGGGCGCAGCGCCCTCTCCCGACATGGCCGCCGCGGGAACAGGCGGCAGGAGCCGCCCGGGCGGCGCTCCCGAGCCGGCGAGAATTTATGCAGCCGCCTGTGTAATTTGTAACTTTTAACTTTTGTAGGTGTTGTTTTTTTGTTGTTTTATGGGTTTTTTTTTTTAATTATTATTATTATTGTCTGTAAAGACAGGCAGCGGGAACCCGTGAGACGGGCTCCGCGAACAGAGCAGCGGCCCCTCAGAGCGGTCCTCCTACGCCCCAGGGGGCGCTAAGGCCGCCCGGCCCGATCCCCGCTCTTGGCTTCGCCTCCTCCGCGCAGCGCATGCGCGTTGCTGCGTGTTGTCGTGTCAGGCAGGAGGCGGGGGGCGGGGAGAGTGTCCCGCGTTCGGTTCCTGTTCCGGGCGAGGCGGCGGGATGGACCGGGAGCTGCTGCGGCAGGCGCTGAGCTACCACGGCCCCGCGCTCCTCTCGCTGCTCCGCGCCGAGCAGCATGACAACCCCGACTTCCGCGGGCTGCTGCCGCCGCCCGGGGCGACCCTGGAGCCGCCCCGCGGGGCCCCGCAGCCGCCGGCCGCCTGGTGAGGGCCGCTGAGGCGGTGCGGTCGAGGGAAGCAGGAGAGCTGAGCCGTGAGGGGGCCGCGGGGTGTTTCTCACCGGGTTCTCCTTCCCCTAGGAAAGAGAGGGCGAGCATTGACACCGAGATAAAGCGCTTCATTGCCAAAAAAGCTGATTTGCTTTTTGCTCACTCCTGGAAACCCAATGGACCTCTCTGTGACACGATTGAAGAAAACGAAGGTAAGCCTGCCCACGGGTGAAGCGTGGCTTCTCTGGAAAGGTGCCCCTGTGACGCCCACAGGGTAGAGTAAGGACGCTGCACTTAAATTGGAAGTATTTTTAACAACAGGTTCAACATTTTTGCTATTGCTTTTTATAGGCACCAGCTTCCTCTTAGTACAAATAAATCATATTTTAACATGCTTTGCTTTTGTGAAGTATTTTGTGTTATCAGGCTGTAGCTTGGTTGTTTCGTAACTGTGAATGTCTCATGTTGCAGAGTATTATGCTGTTATGCCTCCCCTGGAACGATTCATGGAGGTTCCCAGGGAAGACAGGAGAGAATTATTTTTTCGAGACATCGAACGTGGTGATATCGTGATTGGGAGGATTACTTCTATTCGTGAATTTGGCTTTTTCATGGTGTTGATTTGTCTGGGAAGTGGTGTCATACGGGAGATTTCAGATTTAGAAATCACTGTAAGATATAGCTTTGTTCAATATTTTATTTTGTATAAGTAGTAACTTTTCAATGCATTAGTTGGCTTTTCTATCTTTTAATGGAGTGGTATGTGTAAGGGTAAAACTGTACTTTGGGATGGTGGGTGGGATCTGAATTTGTGGCCAGCTTATGATGCTTTGCTGAGTCAGCAAGCACTTATTTTTATGACCCATACGCAATATTTATTACTTCTGAGTTGAAAAGTTCATAATTTCTGGATGTGTAAATATTTATTTGAACCAAACCATGCTTTTAACTATTACGGCTCCCATGTATATTATGACTGAACTAATCTTTTTCTGGCTTAATCGTGGGGAGGAAAAAAAACACCTTTTGGCTTATTTATGATGCTCCTACTTTCTTCTATTACAGGCTCTTTGTCCTTTGAGAGATGTGCCTTCTCAAAGCAACCATGGAGATCCTTTATCTTACTATCAAACCGGAGACCTTATTCGAGGCAAGTAGCTGCAAAAGTTGGCAGGAATATGTTTGTTTCAGTTTTGAGGTGCATCTGTAATTTTATCTTACCTTTTTTTGGTTTTGTAGCTGCCATCAAGGATGTTGATCGTTACCATGAGAAGCTCACGGTGTCACTTTACAGTTCAGCTCTTCCACCCAATCTTTCCAGTACAAAACTAGGTGTAATTACTTCTGATGATTTCCCATTGCATTATAGGTAAGAATATGCTATTTGACTGTACTTGCGAGGTGTTTTCAGTGTGGCTGAAGAGCATGTTTGACAGACTGTTCTTTAAACTTGTCAGTGGTGCTTCTGATTTAATTGGATGATTACATACTTTATGTCGTTCATCTCTTTAATGTAGTTGTTTCTGGGTATGGTCAGGTATTTCAGCACCTTACCCAATATGTAAGGAAAGCAAAAAGCAGAGTGACGTATCTGTCAGTGTAGGACTGTGTTTAGAAAAACCCCAACCCAACAGCAAAAAAAAAAAAAAAAAACAAACAAACCGAAGAAACAAAAGCCTTGGGAGACTGCAATATGAAATTCTTTGAATTTTAAGATTACCCTTAGAAGGCAGAAGAACCCCAGTATCTGGAATTTTTGTCATGTTTTTGTATGTCCTGGAGCTACCTAAATGGTTGCCAAAATAGGTCTCAAAAGCTCACTTAGGCTCAAGAATATAAATACTTGTTTGGGAAATAGTAGGAAAAAATACGCCCATAAAAGAGAGCAGCTTGCCAGCAGTGATAAATATCAATATAGTGACTTTTATTCTAAACATAAGCGTCATAAAATTGAGTGTGGTGTTTGTGTACATTGGTGCTTTTTTTAAGGAGAAGCATGGAAGTTGCTAATACAGCAGAGACATTTGAAGAAGTTTTACATCGTTCCCCAGGATTTGCTAATCCATCATTAGTTGAATATTTAGCAGAAAAACTGGGAATAAGTGAAACAAATCCACCGTCTTTGATGAGAAGTCTTCAAATGTAAGTGATTTTTACATTGTTCCTACCCTACAGCTTTGTGGAGATTATTCTAATCCATTGAAATAGACTTGTGAGTGGAAGTCCTAGACCACTTAAACCTTTTCCATTTTGATTTGCATGACTGCAGCTTACGTGTCCTTAAATATTTAAAAACAACCCACTCTAGAATAAGAAATTTACATTTGAAATTTGGTAGCTCTGGGTAAGCAAGACACCTTATCACACAAAGTGTTTGATACCAGATGCTTTAGGAATTTATTGCTTAGATCTTGTCAACATCTTTAGATTGAAATGTGGGATGTTTCAAGTTTTAATGTTTTCTGTCAGATCTTTATTCACATTATTTATTTTAGTAATAGATCTGACCTCTTGAGTAAAATAGGCTCAGACATAATCAGTGATTGATGTTGTGAGCCCTATATATATCAGGCCCCAAAGCAGGTGTAAATATGGTGTATTTTTGTTAGATGTACTGCACCTGTACTAGTTTCGTTCAGCACTTTTAGAATGGGTTGGGAAAAGCTGGTTTCAGAAATACAAAAGAACATTCCCGACTGAGGGAGAGCCGCAAGGCATTGTATAAATAATATTTTAGCTTATTTCAACTGCATTACATATTATAAGTTTAATTTTGTACACTCAGAAGGCCAGCTTGATGTTTTGTTTTTTTCCTTGCAGTAAAAATTTCAGTGAAGAAGATTTTGCCCCTGCATTGAGGAAAAAGCAATCTGCATCGTGGGCCTTGAAATGGTATGCTATACTTTTCCTTGTCAGAGCTTATTGTTGAGTTGGGTTAGATTACAAGTTCTATTTCTTAAAAGAAAATACACATTGAACCAGTTTTTCCAGTGCATGTGTGGTGGTGTAACCAGGAAGATCTTGAAAGTAACCCTAACAGCCAAGTGGGTACGTGATAGATAGTCTCGAGGTTCAGTTTCAAAATACGTGTCAGGTTTAAGGAAGAACTTCTTAGAATATTTATAATATGCTGGCCCATTGATGAGATGAGAGCAAGATTTGTGACAATACCAAGTACACAATTTTCTATTTTATAGTTGGGTGTTGAATGACCTAATACTGCTTGTCATGCCATGTAAGCCTCAAACTGTAGATTTAACCAGCGCCTTTGAGAAGTTAAATGTATTTCCCTGGCTGCATTTGTAACAGCAGCTCTGGATAGATGCAATTACTTGTATGCTTACAAAGTGAAGGAGGCAGAAGTAAGAGAGACTTTTCTTCTAAAAATGTAATTTTTTTGTGGAGAAACTTCTCTGGAATCTGCCAGCTCAAAAAAAAAAATCTGAATGAAGCCTTAGAATTTTTGGTTTCTATGCTAACAAAGTAGTGCTTTTCTTAAGACAGTAGTGTTTAGCAACTTTGATTGCAGAAAAAGTTGCTTATAAGGGTGAATTACATATAAATTTTAATTTTTAAAAGAAGACACTAATGAAAAGTTTTGAAATTCAATCAGTTCTCTTCCAATATGTTCATCTCTTGGCAAACGTAGAAAAAAGGTTCAGGTCATATGACGTATAAAACCTCAGAATATTCAAGTTTGAGGTGAACTGATTTCAGTGTGTACCATCTGCCCATCTCGCCTTATGTCATTGGTTTAATAGTGATTTTTAGCTTTTTCTGTAATTAAGCCTACTCCAGTTTAATGGTGGTATATCACAGTTTTGTGCAGAGAAGTTCTTAAATAGTAATTCCATAAATGAAAAAATATGTCTGCACTGTCTGCAGAAGCATTCTCCAGTACCTTAAGATTTTGGATTGAAGACATTGTATTGTGTGGAATTATGTCAATGTTGCATTAATTTGAAATTCCAGTGTTAAGTACATGATAACAAGGTCATGTTTTATTACGTATCACCTGTTTGGAACCATAATTTCTGAGTAATGGTGTAAAATCTGTGTAGGCTAACTACATGGTATTTTCTAAATATTTTTCTCCAGTGTGAAGGCTGGGGTTGATTATTTTAAGGTTGGGCGCCACGTGGAAGCCATGAATGAGTACAACAAGGCTTTGGAAATTGATCCACAAAATGTTGAAGCTTTAGTAGCACGTGGAGCTCTGTAAGTTTGGTTGTTTCATTGGGTTTTCTACTTTGTGAAAAAGAAACACCACTAAAATCCACACAACTTTTCTGTTGTTCTAGATATGCAACAAAAGGAAGTCTGAACAAAGCTATAGGTGATTTTGAAATTGCTTTAGAAAACTGTCCTACTCATAGAAATGCAAGAAAATACCTCTGTCAGACACTTGTGGAAAGAGGCGGGCAGTAAGTGTTGGAGTTATGTTTTTGTTTGGTTGTTAACAGTTTTTCTCATAATATTTTTATAATACCATTCTACTTAGGACACAGAATGCAATCTTTCCTTCCTGGCTGTGTGTTTAAAAAACCACATGTCTGTGGAAATACACCTGCTTATGCAGTTAGTTTACACTTTCTCCTCTGTCCCAGTTACAATCCTGGCAAAATATTTGAGGTTTCTTCGCTGATATCCCTTCACTGGTAGGATACCAGGCTTTGCATAAAGTCTATGAAATGTTTGAATGTATTCCAGTAAATTGTTTGTGGTGGGTTTTTTTTGTTTGTTTGTTTTAAAAAATATATTTGTAACAAAACTAGGTTCTGCTACTCTACTGAAACATCGTTTAACCACAATAATGCAAAATTCTACTTTTGAATATTGAAGGAATAGATTTCTTTTAAGCCCTGTGAAAGCCCTATTTAAGCCCTGAAGAGAGGCACATTTTTGAAACTGGAATTGAAATTTCAAAGAATAGTATTACTGATGATGATTAGGAGATAATATATCAGAAATACCATTTTCTTTGCTGAGGTGATAGGGTCTTGGAGACATGCAGCGATAGTATCATAGTGCAAATAAGAAAGGTAGTCCTAAAAATAAGAAAAAAAACCTGTCAGAAATTGTGTCTTAACTGTATATTAATTATCATCTGAATTTTAGATTGGAAGAGGAAGACAAACTACTAAATGCTGAGAGTTACTATAAAAAAGCCTTAAGTTTGGATGAGACTTTTCAGGAAGCAGAAGAGGCCTTAACAAAACTCCGTAAGCATATGCAGGTGATTCTTTACTTTCTCTTCATATAGTGCTCTCAATAACAAGAAATGAACATCAGAAATCATATTAAATCTTTCAAACAGAGAGTTTAAGTTGATAGTTTGTCTTATTCTCTGCTTCCCTTCTCCACAGTAAATCTCTTATAGTGAGCATTATGGCTGTACCTACCAGAAGAAAGGTACCTTATGACTCCACTGTTTTGAACAGGATAGTAAAGAAATGCCAAACAGTGGAGATGGGGAAAGAGCAAAGCCTGTTAACTCTGTCAGCTAAAGAAAGGATAATTATACTCTATCACAAGCATGATTAATAATGTTAAATTAAAACATTCTGTGGATACAGACACCCAGATTGTACAACACATAGGCAAGCCAAATAAAAATTGTACAGCATTGTACCAGCCAGATCCTTATTTGGAGTAATTATGAAAAGATGGAGCGAGACCACTCAGAGCTAACTCACTGGAAGATCAGATGAGAGGGGAAAGTTAAGAGGTGGTTTAAAAGAAAAGGAGGTGGAGGGTGGGTGGGCAAGCACTTTGAAATATCTTAGCTTTCTTCTCTGCTGTCTTGTTTTTTATTTTTGTTTGTTTGGTGTTTTTTTGTTTTTTGTTTGTTTGTTTTTGGGTTTTTTTTTTTGTTTGTTTGTTTGTTTTTTTCTCTCTTGCACGCAGCATATTTCCCAGGTGAGCCCTGGTGGGTCTCTATGCTAATCTGACTTGCCATCTTTTTTCTTTTATTTACCTCCTTTACTTGTGTTGTCTTTCAGAGAGGATCAAAGAGTAAGATAGAGCACTGAGGAACAGGCTTGTTTTGTCCTATGCTTCTGCATGTAAGGAGGTACATACACTGGGGTAGATGGCCTTAATCAACACTTCTTCAGTTGGTGGAGCCATAATGCTGACAGGTTGTGTTGGAAAGAAGGGGGAAGAGGAGATATGACAATCTGTTTAATAAAACTGGACTACATCATAGATAAACCATGTATGGTATTTCAGCACTACATGCGTTTGGCTGCTTTAAAAAGAGGTTTCAGACTCAGTTAAAACGATGAGGAGTATTCTCAGCAAGTAGGAGACAAATTTTACTCTTTTATCATTTTCCTGGTATAGTGGGTCATTGATGCAGCAGGTAAAAACCCATGATGCTAGCTATTTGTTGGTTTGCATAGCAGTTATGCACCTGCAATTCAGGGTCTCCTTTATTGTATCTGTAAAGACAGTTGTTAAGTTTTGAAAACAATAAGCAGACTTTCTGCTCACTCTGAATATGAATAGATCTGCTCTTTAGGACTCTAGAGGGCAGAAGTCTGATCTCTAATAGACTTAAGGATTATTCATCTGGTGAGATGCTCTCCTGTATTTACCTGTATTTTAATACCTAAGTCTGATACTATCACTGTTTGCTAGAATGGCTGAAACAACAGTGGAATATGTTTTCCTGTAATACTGATTATGTGTTTTTCTCCAATGCATTTTCTTCTGAATTGGACCGTTGTTGCTGTATGTGACATCTGGTGCTGCTCATCACCAACAAACCCTTGGAACATGATTTCTTACGTAAACTATGCATCAAACTGGTCTGTGAAATTGTTACAAAACGGTTTGTATTCTAAACATGGCCAACTTGAATACATTTTAAAATTGGTTCTGCCATGTTTTACCTGTAAACTACAATAATGATACTTTCCCTCAAACCTTTCTCTCTTCTTTTTCTATTTTATTTTTTCCCCTTCTTTTCTCCATGTGGGGTTTTTTGCACATTCTATCTATACCTTTTGGGCTCCATGCTTCACGGTGTGCTGGATCACGGGTACCACTGCAATGGCTGGTCAAATATATTTTTTTAATGGAATAAAAACTGCAATATGGTCCTTAATGTAAATCTGATTATCATAACGGCCAATGCCAAACTCCTGAACAATATTAATTCTTGATCTGGGAATCCTGGTAAAATATCCCTGCTGTGATTGTACATTTGAATGGGGTTGGGGACATGGGGAAAAATACCCGTGTTAACTCAATGTAATTTAATTTTTTTATGATGCTTGGGTTCAAAAAAGAAATCTTTGGAACTGAGGGAGAAACAAGCTGCCAAAGAAGAGAGACAGAAAGAAAAGAAAGTAGAAACAAGCGCAGAAAAATTGCGTAAGCTCTTAAAAGAAGAAAAAAGGTAACTTTGTTATATTCAGTAAACTGATAATGTGGCAGTAAGTGCAGATAAGACTGAACAATCCACTTTCAAATAGGTTGTCCAGCAGTAAGCTAGACAGAACTTACACCTAGGTTAGCTGCTTTTCCTCCAGAATATTTTTGTGGGTAGTGTCCTTCAAGGCATATAACCTTTAACAGAGGTATAAGTGCAAAAGAAGTTGTTTAAAAAAATACTTCACGATGTGAAGTATTTGCAGAGTGTAATGCCATATTAAACTGGGAAAGATGCCTTCTATAACAAACTGTTCAGTGGATTTAATCTTAATTTTTTGATAAAGAAATGACATTTGAAACCGTCTTGCCAGGTCAGGCTCAGTTTCCTTTCATGCCTTACAGTCCAGTCTCAGCGAAACTGGGGGAGTACAGATCTGCTTTCTACATATAATTTTTGCCTGATACTGAAGATTATCTCACAGGTTAATTACATTTTTTAGGTTGAAGAAGAAAAGGAAAGTATCAACTTCCTCCTCGTCCTCATCATCATCATCAAGTGATTCTTCGTCAGATGTATCAATTTCTTCTTCCTCTTCTTCCTCTGATCACAAGAAATGTAGGAAAAAGCGTCGGAATAGATCAGAGTCTGCCCACAGCTCCAAAAAATGCTCATCTGGAGCTTCTTCCCATTATAAAGATCAGATTAGGAAAGAGGAGTGGTATTCGCCTCCAGCTGATACCTCTGCTTCCTTTCTTAACCAAAATTTTGAAGTGGAAAAACTGCTGGAAAGGCAGGACAGCTTAGTGTGTCCGAAAACACAGGTAAAAGAGAAAGACAGACACTGTTCTTTTTCGAGGACTTCAGGTGATGACGAAGACACTTTTGGAGGTAGGTCTGAAGATTCAAGAGATTCGTACAGTAGCTCCAGGACTCTGCCAGGTAGTAGCAAAACTGAAAAATATGGTAAACCAGATAGATTTTTCTCCAGTCGGAGGGGGTTTTCAGGTTCATATCATAAGTCAGATGATAAACCTAGGATGCATTATTTTAGGAAATTAGAAAGGGATGTAGAGGGGAGAAGAGAACAGTTTAAAAAACATGGCTCAGGCCAAGACAGGTATTATATTTCTCCAGCAGGGTCTGACTATTGTGGCAAGTCAGTGGGAAAGTACAGATCATATTCTAGCACCTGCTTCCAGGAAGGTGATAAAAGTTATGATAGTGATAGGCATATGTTAAGTCATCAGAGAAATGAAAGTGAGTATAAGAATAGGAAAAGAAGTTATGAGGAGACTAATAAAACAGAGGAATCAGATGAGGAACCGTCTTTAAATGGTACAGCACAAACTGAAAGTGGCACTAAAAGAAACTTGCCACAGAACTTAGTTAACATATTCAATCAGATAGCTGAGTTTGAGAAGGAAAAAGGAAATAAGCAGAAGAAACAGTAAAGTACGAAAGAAACGCTATTCTGATGAGTGTAGTTAAATGAACTTTTATCTGAGTATCTCTTGAGGAAATGCATATGAAGAGTGATAGGCAGAATTTGTTCTGTCTTGTAGAATGTCAGGGAGTTCTTAAAGTAAAGATTGTACATTGGGAAGAGATGCAAGGATATCTTGAGTAAATTATCAGTTATTATTTAAAATCTAAGTTTCCTGTGCTCTTAATTTGGGATGTTCCTGTACAGTATCCTCTGTCTGATGGGCTGAAATGCTTTGATAGCCCTGGACTGTAGTTAGCTGTAACTCGCATCAAATATGCACTTTAACAACAGATGTTTTTGGTTTGGTTTTTCTCATCCCCTGGGGTACTACTGACTGCTGATATTTTTGTATCACACTTAACTTCCAGCTATAGAAAGAGGATAACTGAATGGAAGTCACGTGCCATCAATGTGTATAGCTCATTTGATCATTAAATTTTCTTAATTTTTTCTTAATTTTGTGTCTTGATTTTTGTTAGTGTTGGTGGGATGTTTCGTACTGGTGCAGTGGTTATGTGTGCTGCTTAAGTGAATGGAACTCTCCAGTACCTGTGGCGGCAAGTGTATTATTATTTAAGCCCATCAAACATGTTGTCTAAGTAATATAAAAAAGCCCCAACTGAAGTAAGAGAGTTTTAAAAGTATTTATTGTCTAGGTTAAGTTCAAGTGTGGGCCTTTGATTTTGTTTGGGTTTTTTTGTTAGGTGTTTTCTTTACAAGCAGCTGAAGGCAGTGGTTGCATTGCTGTAGAAAAAGTTATTTGCAATGAGGTCTCTAAAGATGGTTGGCAGGACACACTAAGGAGCTAATATCTGTTAGACTACACAATAACAACTGTATTATGGCTGTAAGTTTTCCAGGTAATTCAAAAGACATAGGTCAGTTGCAAAAAAAGGTACTGTGTAATTTTGAATAGAAAAAGCACAGTTTTACTGGCTTTAATCATGTACTGTCATCTTTCAATTAAGATACGAGCTGAGCTGACTAGTTGATTAATAGTCAAGGTTGAGCTTGAAATGAAGCATACGTTTACGTTGCCACAAACCAGGAAAGAAATCTAAAACTATTTTGACAGTACTGAAGATACCAGTTTATGAAAATTAATGGCTTCAGCATAACTCTCCTTTTCAGTACAAGAAAAGTGAATTAATGGCTTCTGAAGGGTTTTGCGGATCTTTAGTTCTCCAACAGCAAAATGAGAAAGTAATTTAAAAGGTTAATTTATTTTATTATATAAAACATATGCTTAATATTTCTCCTAATTTATTCGGTACTATAGAAGAATGTTAAAACACACATTTCTGATGTAAATCAATTTCTAAGATTGCCAATATACCTTGATAAATAAGTTACAGATTAATCAATTGAAGTCTTACACTAGTGTAAAGCTTTTACTGTAGTATTCAAAAGATTACTTAAGACTTTTTTTTGCATTTAGCACCATCAGAGGTGCTAGCTCTGCTGGGTGGCTGTGAACCAACAGCAACTGCTTCTCCAGGAGCGTTGATAGGCAAGCTCAGATCTATGACTTTGAGTGATGAAGCCTGACCAGAGCCTGAACTCGTGCTTCTGGAGGATCTGAAAGACAAAAATTCACTCATCAGTATACAGAAATCCCTGTATCTACAATGGAGCTTGTAATGGTGGCTTACAATAAAGCCACTCAGCTGTGGTGTTTATTTTAGGTAAGATTACCACTAATCGCTTAAGTAACCTGTGGGAGTGTTATGTCATAACTGACTCAGCGTGTTACATGAACTATTAGTTGAATATATATTGAACAGGGGAAAAAGGTATCAAGTAAAAGCATATGTGTCTGTCTTCCCTATTTAATTAGGAAAGGGAGCTCACACTACCCAGTGCAAAATGTGGCTGGAGCTCAAACTTGTGCTTTTATAATGTGAAAGCAATTTTTAATTAGAGCACGGTTAGTAAAAGTAAATGTAATTGCTCTGTAATTACTATTTTAATCTGATGGATGCTGAAGTAATCTTAATTGTGTGTGAGACAAATCTAATAAACTTCAAGATGGGATGGTATAAAGAGGAAGCTTTTGTAGAGTGTTTAGGAAGTAGACACAAGAGTGCGAAGGCCTTCAGGAGTGAGGAATTCTGTCATTTAGGGACTGATTTTCCTGGTTTGAAATTTAAATTAAAAAAACAAACAAAAAACCAAGCCAAACATTGCTAGCACTTACCTGGTAGAAGCAAGTGAGTTTTGTGTGGATGATGATCGAGAACTTTGACTATCACCGGCAGAAGCAAGTGTAGGAAGCTCTAAATTGGACTAGAAAATTTGGAAAGAAAAGAAAATTGACATAATGGTTGTATAATAAGACTGGGTATATCAGGAGGGTTTATAATCCTTTGTATTTGAAGAGATGTTGAGAGCAGATGAACACTTCTTCCTGTTTTACTGTAAGTATATTGTTGAATTCAGGAGTTGCCCTTGAAAGACATTTCTCAAAATACTAGAGCTATCAATCAAGACTTTGGCAGCAATTAACTGGAAAGCTCACCTGGTGAAAGTACATTTGAAAGGGCGTAGTTAAATCGGGATTCGCTTCTAGAACATCAGCTAACAATTTGTCAATGGTTCTGTTGAAGTTTTTCAAATCGCGAAGATCAATGTCTCTTTCTTCCTGTGTCTCTGTTTTTGTTTTCTTCAGAGCCTGGATTTCTTTGGATAGTTTGGAACACTTTTAACACAAACATTTTTAAGGCATCGCTGTTATGAAAATGCAAACACTTTTTCAGAAAATTAAGTTTAAATTCTGTGGTCATTAATGAATATACAAACCTGTTTGATAACCCTTTGTAGTTTTGGCTTCTGTTCCTCTATATCTTTGTTCAGCTGAAAAAGAAGAGCTTCTTTTTCCTTCTTTTGCTCTTGGAAGAGGGCCTCTTGCTTCAATACTGTGTCAAAATTTTTTTCCATACTCTGCAAATTCATTTGAACAGTAGTTTCAGTTTATCAAGTAATACTGCTATCCTCCCACTTTTTGTGTTACTTTGTAGAAGGGTCTTATTGCTACTACTTGTTTCTAAATGTAGCTCAACTAGTATTAATAGTAACTCAAAACTTTCTGCCTGTCAGACTGTTTAGTGGATAAATAACTGAATAAAGAGACCACCGAGTAATTTACATACCTAGAAAAAAAATTAAAGGTACTATTAATGAAGTTGTAAGTATTTGCAGGTTTGCCTCTGAGCAGTGTCTACAATTTACTTGGCAGTACCAACTGACCAGCATGAGCTACTCTAAGAAAAGTAAGTTTCCCCTGGGATGAGATGTATACCTTTTGGAATTAATAAAATCACCTCCTTAAGGGTGACAGTTTTTTAAAAAAACAAATAAAAAGGCAGTAAAGGGTATGCCTTAAGACTTCATTATATCCTAGGACTTACTCCTTGATGAATATGTGTGTCCCTCTAATTTCAGCGATGCTATTTCTTATGGTATATGTCCTATCGTGTTAG